TCTTTTAACTGCGTGGGAAGATGACGTTTGATTATTTTCGTTCCATTGTCACGTGATGCTCATAAGGGAAACCAAGACAAGATGGCAAGTCAGGCCGCAAGTCAGGCAAGCGCGTTGGTCTCAAAAAAGAAAAAAAAAAAACGAAAAAAAGAAAATATTATACTTCTCCAATTTGGCAGCATTTTGGCTTCAGGCCACATTTGTTTACATTTTACAGAAACGAAACTTATAACCACATGGCTCATTTGCAGAAACTATAAAGCGATAAAAACAGATCCTTCCTTGTTCTCTGATGCGGTTCAGCTTCTGTCAGACTAAAGGACATGACTCAGCGGATTATGAGTGTTTTTTCAGTGACAGAGGATGTGCGGCTGACGGTGAGTCTCTTCTGTGCGTCTATCACATTGGAGATGGTTCATGTGAAACTTTTCAGGGATTATAAATCTGCAGGTCATAAGCATAGACTGTACAGCGCTGTGGCTTTGTATCTTACCAAAGTCGTACTAAAACATTTTGGTAATACGGTAATACCTTATACTCCTGTAAAATCCTGAGAAGGTTTAATGGTATCAAAATTTGGATACCGCCCAGACCTAGGTTGGTGGTGCAATTTCAGCTCCCACAGATAAATACTGTCACTGTGTCTTAACTCACCAGTCTGTGTGTGTGTGTCTGTGTGTCTGTGTTTGTCTGTGTGTCTCTGTTTGTCTGTGTGTGTGTGCGTCTGCGTTTGTCTGTATTTGTCTATGTTTGTCTACGTGTGAATGGGTGAGTGGTTCCTTGTTGTAAAGCTCTTGAAAGGGGCCTTGAAAGCGCTATATAAATATTGTATTGTAAATGTATATATATCCACACTTCAATCTCTGCTCCTGCAGCCAGGTGTTTATTATCAGAAACCCCTGGCTGTAAGCAGAGCAGTCTTTTGTGATGTCACCAACTACTTGAAATTGCAGGAAGTAGTTTAGCAGTAGTTTAGTAGTGAAAAAAGTGGATTTAGTTTTTCGTTCCACTTTAAATATTCTTGGATGTTAGAATTGTAAGCTCATCTTTTTTATCGTCATGTATAATTTTCAAGAAATACATGAATTAATTATGTAACTAAATACATTTTCGTATTTCTTCAGACTCTAGGTGGGCAAAGTGTGTTTATTTCACTGTAGTTCTAGTTAGTTAAGAGCCTCACATGCAAGAGGGTTTTTATGTGGTTTGAAAAGTTAGCCAATGAAATGGAGATTGTGAAATGTGAGACTGCATTTTTCAAGTTTGTGGCCGAGCTGTGCTGTTGTAACCGTGATGAGGTGTTTGTGTTTTGAAAAGGGAGAGGTGGACTCTGGTGTGCTGTAATGGGCCGTGTCCTAGTTTCAGATAGAGGGCAAGGGCCTATATAACTCTTTTTAATCCATAAAAACAGTACAAAAAATATATTGAAATGTATTTACCCATACTGACCAAGTAAACGTAAGTCTACTAGGTAAGAATTAGGAATTACAGGTACGATATTACTCATAACAAGTGATCTTTGAGTCATGTTTACACTGTTCCCTCCTCAAAAGCTTACATAGAGTTGTGTTTTGTTTCATTTACACATCTGAGTAACCCTTTATTACTAGTCTATCCATATTTCCAAAGCTCAAGATGCTCTGTTCCACCTTGTGATGTCATTTAGTGGTAGTTTTAAGGTTAACGCCTCTATTCGACTCCTTTACTCTTCATTACTCTTTATGTCGGTGCGTTTATTTTTTAATATTTTTGTTTTACCTTTACAAAGTTGGACAAATGACATCACAAGGAGGAACAGAGTGTTTTCAGTTTGAGAAATAACACTGCCTAAATATACAGGATTTGTGTGTTGAAAGTGTGTGAATGAAACAAAACACAACTTTTAGGGGGTGTAACGATATCCAAATCTCACGATACGATATTGTCACGGTATGAACCTCACTGTACGGTATTTATTGCATTATCAGGTAAAGCTCATGATTAGGACTGGGTATCATTAAGAAGTTGCCGATACGATACATACCTCGATACATAGGCCACGGTACGATACATATCTCGATACAGTGCACTTTCAGTACGATATATTTCAAATCGATTCGATACGGTTCAATAAAAAATAAAGGCTAAATCATTTCTGTGATAAAAGTCTTTGTTAAACCGTTTCCTGTGCAAAGTTAAGATAAAAAACGCTCATTTTAACAATCAAAACAGTGAAAATGTCAAATGTGTTGCTGAACTGTAGCACTGTAACAAAATAATTAGTAAAATATACCAAAAAATACTCTTGCTGATATATCGATACAGCATCCCAAGATATCAATACTGTAACATCACATGAAACGATACGATATATCGATATTTCAATATTTTTGCACACCCTTACTCATGATATGTTGGGGAGGCTCACGATTAGGGATGTAACAATATCCAAATCTCTCTGTACGATATTTTCACGATGTACATCTCACAGTACGATATTTATTGTGATATTTTGTGGAGTGTAACAAACTGTTAATATGTGACTTTTTCCTCTTAAAATGCCTTAACAAGACTTAATCCAAAGAACAAAGACTTAAAAGTGCTTAGAACTGTTATTTCTTCATGTAGTCTGCACTGAAATGGAGCAAAGGATCATGGTCTATGTAGTTCCCTCTGTCTTTTTAGCTATATCTGCACCATAACTTTTAATTTAAGCAAAGAGACTTGTAATTCGATATATTGTGATGGTCCACGATATTATTGTGAGAACTCTGATGATACAATATCACGATATTTCAGTTTTTTGATGAGGAAACAACGTTATAACATTAAAAACTGCAATATACAGTAGGTCCCGTAAACTTAACAGGGCACGGGCCTATGTACTGTAACTCTATGGGAGCGTCACTGTTTTTGTATGATTATTTGTTCGGGATTAGCTTCACATTGTGCTATTTCAGACTAGATAAGCAAAGTGGGTTTGATTTCACTGTAGTTTGGATTTACAGTTAGTGTCTGACTTGCAAGAGGTTTTTATGTGGTCTGAAAAGCTGATAAATCAAAAGGAAATTGCGAAATGTGGGAATACGTTTTTCTTTCAGCTGACAACTATTACTTCTTTGGTGTTGAGAGAAGACGTTGAACTCTGTGCCAGTTTTTGTTTCATGTGGATAGGTCCAGTAATTACACATATTCACCACAAACCAGGTCAACAACTCTGAAATCTGACCGTGAAGTAGCTAACCGTACGCACTGCTCTGTCTGAAGATCTGTCACTCCAGTTAAAAGGTGTATAAGGTTTTGATAATTCTCAAAGTTTTACTTAATTCTCTGGTATAAAATCTGTTGTAAATATAAATGATAGTTTTGTACAAATCAAGAAGCAGTTTGTAAAGAAAAGTTGAAAAATGTGTTGAAAATGACAGGAAGTAGAGATTTCTATTTTAGGAAACTACATATTGATGAAAGTTTGTCTCAATTTACACAAAAGAAACATATACTTCCAATACTTTAAACATTATTCCAACAAATTAAAGGTGCTTTCTTCTATTTTTATGTGTTAAAAAAATTATTTGCGTGTACATAAATTGTTTTAGACCATTGTATAACATGGTTACTAGGTAAAAGTTCGAATTCCTGAGGGCGATTTCATGAAAATTTATCTATTTTTGTCGAAAAGGAAATACTTAAACAGCATCGTGAACATGTGTCATCTTAAAACTTTTTTGTCAGTGTGCATTGTGTCACCATGGTAACTGATAAACATTATGCCAATAGAGATACATGTAGAACACCCCCGGCATGATCTCACTGCGAAATATTGCTGGTTTTCACATTCTGGATGTGATGAAGTCATACTCCCAGATGGAAAGCAAGAGACAGTTTTCCCTATTTATAATTATAACACTGCACTTTGTCATAAAATATCCAAGAAGAGTATTCGCAAATGTTTAATGTAATCTTTTTTATCAGCGACTAGACCCATTATCTTGCTTTATTACAACAAAAACCTACATTTTAGCTGCATTTATTTTAACCGCCCCCATCTGTATTATATCGTATTGGCCATTAGAATGTTGACGTTATAAGATGAAAAATAACACCCCCTCTTTAAAGAAATAACTAAACTGAAATAAAAATAATAATAATAACAATAAAATAAGCTTTGTTTGTAGCAGAGTTGGGGACTTGCAAATTGTGACTTGGACTCAAGTCAGACTTGAGTCTTATTTTTAGGACTTGAGACTTGACTTGATAAAATGGACTAAGACTGGGACTCCACTTGGACTTGAAGGTCAGTGACTTGGGACTTCACTTGGACTGTGACTTGAGAAGACATGAGAAGAACTTTTAAATCTGAATTCTTTCTGTTCTGACCGTAATGATTCACCCAAGATCTTGACAAGACATTTAAAAAGGAAAAAATAACTAAATTCATTTCTAGCACTCTTGTATACTCTATAAATACCCATATATAAATATACCATAACTTTTTTTAAAGTACAGTTTAGTTTAAAATTGATATAAATTGCAAAAATGTAAGCTATATTTGGTACTTTGGTTTAAAACTTGAAAAGACTTGAAGCTCAAAGCAGATGATTTGGACTCGACTTGGACTTGCCTGTATTTGACTTGGGACTTGACTCGGACTTGAGGTCAAAGACAATGACCTGGTCCCACCTCTTGTTTCTAGACATATAGATTACATATTATATTACACTGTTGCTGGAAAAGGGTTTTGTCACACGTAGATAACAGTAAGTGATTTCAATGTTATTTTTTCAAGCTATTATTCATAGTTGTTTATCAAAAGTTCAGGTTTAGACTAGTCAGTAGGAATCCTCTATTTTTTACAATACAGTTTCATTCTTTGAGCAGTCCTCGTGTATGTACCTCCACCTACCTTTTTACTAAAAAAAAAGTAAATTATACAACAAGAACATATGTAAACAACATGTACAAAATAATACAATGCAGTGCCAGGGGATTTGAACCCAACCTATTGTTGTTATGTTTTCTAGGTCCAGAATTGTCCCTGTCCCGAGAGGAGGAGGTGGACCTGAGGTTGCAGAAGAATGACAGTGGGGTGGAGTCGGCCTTACTGTACGCCAAGGCCTGGTCCAAGTACATCAAAGACCTGCTGGCCTGGATGGAGAAGCGCCTGGCTATGGGTAAGACCTCCACACATCACCTCCAGTTAAATAATATCCCGGTTTTCTTGGAATTTTGATTTGATTATGATCCTTGTAGACTTTTTATATTACCTTGGAGATAGAGATGAACCTTTGTCGATTTTTTTAAGACAATACTGATATTAAAGGGCCTGTATTACACTATTTTCTGAGCTACGTTATGTTGTTTCTTCATCAAAACATACCTTGAATTAATTTTTGTTTCATCACACATGCTTGACTAAACATAAAATGCAACTCCAGGTATGTTTTGATGTTATGATGTGGAAAAAAATAACAAATAAATAAGAAAATCCTAATAATAATGGTGTAATGTAAAAAAAAAAAATTCAATCAATCAATCAATGAATCAAACTTTATTATAGAGCACTTTTCATACACAAAATGCAAATAATAAATAATAATAATAATAAAAATGTAGATGATTGTCAGCTCAGTATACACACAAATATTTTAGACAAAAAAACTATGAACATAACTAAATATAAAGTTGTCAATATGAACACTACTTAATGCCACTTTTCAATTGTCTCCTTTTTAATTGACCAAATTTTACGTTTATTTTCAGATATTGAATATGCAAAAAACTATGCAAAATTGGCAGAATCTGCAAAGTCGCTGGCCAGTCAACAGGTATCAAAGAACTATTTTATTTCATTTATTTGTTTTTTTTGTTGTTGTTGTTTTTTATGTTGATATAAAATAAAACTGTGCATCCCATTTGTTCCAGGACTACATGCCATTTAGCGACATCTACACTTCAACATTTAAGAATGACATTGAGTACAACCAGCTGCTAATTCAGACCGCCATGGCGCTCCAATCCAATAAATTTATACAGGTACGTTCATGTTAAAGTAGCACGATGTAACTTTTCTAGGAGGGTGCGCCATCTGCTTGTCTCCCGATGTTTTAGCTGTCATCAATGCATGTTTGAGTAATCTAGAGATCTGTTCCTGGCCCTATTTGAACCTTCCTTACAACCATACTCCCACACGACGATTCTCCATAAAAATCCAAAAGCATGACACAAAACAAGACACTACAACTTCACAAACCTGATACTATGTGCAGTAATTTCTTTAGCAGGATTCTGTTGCGATAGTGCTCTGAAGGGAGGACAACTTAGCACGGAGAGCAAAGGCAGAGGAGTCTCCGAACATTGAAAATTAAAGTGAAGCTTATAAAACATGTCGATTATAGCATTTTCAAAACAATAAATGTGAAAATGGTGATCTAAATTAATGTGTTAGCAGTTAATACCCAATAGAAATAACCCCCAGAAAAGTTACGTAGTAGATCTTTATGTTTTATAATCAAACTTTGCCACCGTTGATCATTGTGTAACTTAATCTGACTTTGTTGCTTTTGGCAGCCTCTTCAAGCGCGAAAGAATGAACTGGACAAGTTGAGGAAAGACATCAAGGAGCAGTGGCAGAGGGAGCAGAAGAAAATGGTATTTCAAATATCTGAGATGTACTTTTGTATTGTTCCAGCACTTAGACTAATAACAAGGTACTAGTCTTTTACGCCGTGACAATTTGTATGTGTCACTGTGTTGAAGCATTTGAGCTATTGCAGGATTTTCAGATATGTCTCTGTTGTGAGCTTCTTTTAGCTAACCTTGCATAACCCACGTGTTACTCATGAGTGTACATCAGATTATTTAGAGTGACACATAAGAGTATTATCTTCACTGTATGGGCTGCTTGCCTTTTATCAACCAAATCAATGAGTACACGATGAGTACACACACTGCAAAAATTCCAGTGGTGAAATAGTTTTTTAAATATTCTACATTCTATTGTTATTTGATTTTGTGTCAGGTTTCAAGATAATTTTATTTAAACTAAGAAAATAATAATGGAGTGTTGAGTTTGTGTTGCTTAGACCAGGGGTGGGCAAACTGCGGCTCTTTAATTTTTTTAATTTTGGCCCACCAAACTTGAATAATAATAACAACAACAACAACAATAATATTTTTCAGTGTTTTAAAAGTCAGTTCAATAAATAGTAAATACCGTGGGACTTCAAAGACAGATATTTTGTTGTAATGCTTTGTAATGATTTTCAATTATGGGATATTTCAATAACATGGGACATATTTTCTACATATTCCATCATATTTTTTTCTCTTATGAGGTGGATTATCAAAAAACTCAAAAACTCCCATCGATTTGCTCCTGGTCCGACTGTTCTGTCAAATTTTAGAACCCTTTGTGACCCACGAGTCAAAAAGTTTGCCCACCCCTGGCTTACACACTCAACACTGTTTTTTTTTTTGTATTATTTCAAATCTAGACACATGGTTGGCGTCTGCAGTGTCCCACAGAGCTGCCAACATCTCTCTCCCAATCAAATAATAAATAGCCATTTAATTATACAAATTATTTTGATTCTTATTTAAGGATCTTACTCCCTTAGCAGACACTTTATCTTAGGGCTGCTCAATTATGGGAAAAATAACAATCATGGCAATTATTTCAATCATAATTATTTAACCCTTCAGTCATCCAGGTAGGTTCCATAGCGGGGATGGTTTTGTTTCAGTGTCGTTCTTCTTGGATGTGTGTCAAAACATCTTCAACCTAAAACTTTTGTCCAGACAGAATTTTTTGCTATTTATTCATAATTCATATCTCGAAGTATTTTCTTAAGGAGAAGGAGGGGTATCTCATAGGAATGTAACAATAACAGAAATATTGTGATATCATATCGTCAAAGTTCTCGCTATAATATCGTGGACCATCACAATATATCGAAGTCTCTTTGCTTAAATTAAGAGCTATGGTGCAGCAAAAGCTAAAAAAAAGACAGAGGGAACTACATAGACCATGATCCTTTGCTCCATTTCAGTGTAGACTACATGAAGAAATAACAGTTCTAAGCACTTTTAAGTCTTAGTTCTTTGGATTAAGTCTTGTCAAGGCATTTTAAGAGGAAAAAATATAAAAGTTTTGTTTGCCTCCACAAAATATCACAATAAATCTCAGACCGTGAGATGTATGTCGTGAAAATATCAAACCGAGAGATTTGGATATTGTTACATCCCTAATCGTGAGCCTCCCCACCATAGATTGAACGCATGTGTTTAATCTGCATTTATGTGTGTTTATTCTCAATTATATTACACACTATTTGTAATCAGTGAAACAATAAGCGTAATTGTAATTCAGTTTATTAAGCAGCACTTATTTAGCTTGAAATACGAAGCAACATGTTTATTCATTGCATTTCTTACCACTGTAGCTCTGATACCTGAATACTACAGTTACAACAACAGATTTGTATATGTATTTATATTTTAGCAAGAAGCAGATGTGAGTTTGCGTAAGGCCCGAGCGTTGAAGACCCAGAGGAAAGAGGAGTACCAGAAGGCCCACATGTCCACAAACCGATCCCAGGAGGAGGCCACCAACACGGGCAACAAACAGCTGGAGAAGAAGAGGAGGCTGGAGGAGGAGGCCATGCAGAAGGTGAGAAGAGCAAATACACCTCTGTAATAACAGGAGGGCTCAGGGTGGTGCTTTGAATGACTATAATGTATGTATTTGTATGTAGGATCAACATTTAAATCCATAATATTATTTAAATGCATTACTGAATGAGAATAAAAGGACAAGCTCTTAGTGAGGCCTAAACCAGGGCTTAACAGAATCTAAGATAACCTAAACCCAATTCTAAATTAGGGGTAAACTAATTCTTAGCCAGGACTAAACCAGGACAAATCCAGGTCTAAACCAGGACTAAACTAGAACTACACTAGGGCCTAAAGCAGATCACGTCTTAGTAACTAGACAGGACTAAACCAGGACAAAAACAGGTGTAAACTAGTGCTAAACCACAACTAAACCAGGGCTAAATCAGGACTAAACCAAGAATTGTCCATAAACCGGTTTTAGGCAGGCCTGATTAGGTCTAAGCCAGGTCTTTACTAGTTCTTACCCTGGTATGGACCATAACCAGGAAACATACATGATTCAAGAACTAAACCAAGACTAAACCAAGTCAAGATCTGGTCTAACATTTTCTCAACTCTCGTAAATTTTGCAAATTTAAAACATGGATTATTTAAGACTTATGCTGACTACTACTGTTGTATGTCTAAGAGTATTGAGTCTCATAGTGTTGTGTTGTGTTGGTCCAGGCTGAAGAGGCCCAGGACCAGTACCAGAGCTGTGTGGCCGAATCCGGAGTCAGAAAAATGGACCTGGCCAACGCCAAAAGCACCATCCTCACTCAGATCAGAGAGATGATCTTCCAGTGTGACCTCACCCTCAAAGCTGTGAGTTTATGAGAAAATTTGTGGGAAAAAAATATCTGGAATACATTCTCCAGATTAAAATCAAACTTTTTTTTCACTGTAAATGGTAGAAAAATATGTATCCTGACTTTGAGTATGCAGAAATGTGTGAGATGTTACTTTGAGCCATTGCCATTGAACAAAACCACTATCTTACTACAAACATTATTATAGTCAATATGGTCAGCTTAATTATAAATTGTAAGTATACCTAAATGTGTGCAGTTGTGTGGGAAATGTACTACCTTTATATTTCCAGAATTTGAAGCAGTACTCAAGCACTGATAAATGTTATCTTACAATTTATATTAGCTTACCCAAAATTATCCATCCATCCATTTTCTTCCTCTTATCTGGAGCCAGGTTGCGGGGGGAGCAGTCTAAGCAGGGACTCCCTCAAATTGTTGGCAACTTTAGTATAAACTAGTTAAATTTGCTGCTTTCTGGTCAAACTTTGTGCTGCCTTTAGTAGCCTCTGCGATTTCCAATACTTAGTAACATCCCAAAAGTTCCACAAAGTTATTTCAGTTTTAAAGTTAATAATTAAAGTATCCTGCTTAAGTTTATTGTTGTCTAAATTTGATCAATAACCATTAGTAACAAACTTGTGTCATATTTCTCTTGTTCTCAGGTGACAGTGAACTGGTTTCAGATGCAGCAGGCCCTGAACGCCTCTCTGCCCACTCACTACCAGGCCCTGAGCGACAGCGCCAAACTGTACGAGCCCGGGGAGTGCTACGCCGAGTTTGTACGAAATCTGCCCCGGAATCTGCCAAAGGAGAGACTGCACTCAGACTCCATCTCGTCAGACAGCACCAGGTACAACCACACAACATTATGAAGTATTGTTTAGATTTATAATGGGTTAAACAAAGAATTTCCTGTACTACTTTTGAATAACTACACCTTAATTAGGATTAAAGGTGCATTCTGTAACTTTTTTAGTGGAAGGTCCGTCGAATGCTTTTCTCAGACTAAACCAGACCAAGTTACAGGTCAGATCTGTGGAGAGGCAACCCCGCTCACAGTCAGAAAGCCTGTTTTTCTAGGTATTTTTGAGCTATAAAACCACCTGTAGTTGAATAAATCTAAGGTAGAGCTGTTTAAAGTCATACTGCGGAACATTCCAGGCAGAGCAATGACATATCCATAGAAACAAGCAACCAAAAAGTTAAACAGTCCATCTTTAACAAACATGTGCAATTTAATTCTACCAAAACCACGAAAAAATATATATATATTGCCAGTCAATTAGTGACCAACCATGACAGCTAGGGATGTAACAATAACCAAAATATCCTGATATCGCATCGTCAAAAGTCTCACAATAATAAGTGCCTTTGCTTAAATTCATTGTTATGGTGCAGCAATACCTAAAATAAACATGAGGAACTACATAGACCATGATCCTTTGCTCTGATTTCAGTCCAATGTACAACAATGAAATAACTCTTATAAGCACTTTTAAATCTGAACTCCTTGGTTTATGAGGTTAGGTTAAGTTGCTTTATTCGTACTCGTAGGTAAATTTGTTTTGCAGATTTGAGAGGCTGGTTCCACATTTCACATTTCATTCATCAATAAATAAATAAACACGTATAAAAACACAATTACAAAATAAAGTGTTACAGAGCTACAGTGCTGAATGGTTTGTTCCCGTAAACATTTAGTTAAATTCATCCATCACACTTGACTAAAATCTGAATAAATATTAAATATGTAAAAACACATTATTTTTTCCGAGACAAACGTTCGAAAATTGATAGATAAATAGATTACAATTTATTCAGAAGTATGATAGCGGCTGGAACTTCTTTTAAAATGGTTCGCTCTGGATCTTGGACTGGAAAGATGGACTGGTGTGGATAGTGTTGTGTTTCAGTTTTAGTTTTGTTTAGTTTTTTTGACGCAGAAAAGCGGGAGCCACTGTGTGTGAATGTAACCAAAAGAAAACGTAGAATATTATGCAGTTTTGTTTGTTTTGTCTCTACAAAATATCACAATAAATATCGTACCGTGAGATGCATATCGTGAAAATATCGTACCGAGAAATATGGATATCGTGACAACATTTAGTGAGAAATTCAGTTATGGACTTGGACAGTTTTGATTTGTTGTTTCTCAAATATTTCTCAAAATTAAACCTTTTTTTTTCAGAACTATAGTAACATTAACTTTAAGTTGTTGTGCGTAGGTCTGGGTAAAGATCTGTTTTCCAAATTCTTGTCTTCTGTATTTCCATGGTGCACTCCTTAAAAACTCTCCAAATATTTTCACCCAAGACACGGCGCTGTGTTTTGAAATCTTCTGGCCCCTCCCTGCCCTCAACGGTGTACGGGCGCGCAGTTCTTCTTTCGGCAGCAGGAGGAAGTGAAAGAGAGAGAGAAGGGGTGAGAAAAGGTTAGGGTAGAGGGAAAGAGAGCAGAGAGAGAGAGAGAGAGAGAAGACAGGAGGACCAGAAAGGGAGAGAGGGGGAGAGGGGAGAAAGCAGAGAGAGAGGAGAAGAGGGAGAGACAGAGAGAAAGAGAAGGATGAGGGAGAGAGAGGAGGAAGAAAAGGAGAATTGAGATGTAAAGAATAGAGAGACAGCAACAGGGAGCAGACAGAGGAGAGAGAGAGAGAAAAGAGGAGGATGAGACCGAGTGAAAGAGAAGGAGAGTAAGGGGAGGGACAAGGGATGGAGAGAGAAAGAAGTGAGCAGAAAGATGAGATGTGGGGGCAGAAAGAGAGAGGGAAGAGAGAGAGGTGTAGAATAGAGAGAAACTGCTACAGGGAGCAGACGAGAGAGAGAGAAAGGAAGAGAGGATGAAGAGACAGAAAGAGAAGGCTGAGGGAAGGAGTGTAGAGAGAGGGAGGAGAGAGAGAGGGGGGTAAGAGAGTTTGAGAGAAAGAGAAAGGTCTAGTGGACAGAGAGAAGGATGGAGGAGGGAGAGTAGAGATAGAGAGGAGAGAGAAAGACGGAGAGAGATAGAGACAGAGAGAAAGGAGAGAGGGAAGACAGGAGAAAGAGACAGAGAAAAAGCAGGATGGGGGAAGGAGAGTAGAGATAGAGAAGAGAGAGAAAAAGAATGATGGGGAAGGAGAGTAGAGATAGTGGGGAGAGTGAAACACAGAGGGAGAGAGAGAGAGAAGACAGGAGAAAGAGACAAAGAGAAAGAGAAGGATGGGGGAGAGATTGTAGAAATTGGGGGGAGAGAGAGACAGAAAGGAAAAAACAAAAGAGGAAGAAGAGACAGAGAAAAATATTGATGAGGAGAGAGATTAGAGATAGGGGGAGAGAAAAAGACAGAGGGAGTGAGAGACAGAGAGAAAGGAGAGAGAGAAGAGAGGAGAAAGAGACAGAGAGAAAAAGAAGGATAGAGGAGGGAGATTAGAGATAGAGGAGAGAGAGAAAGACACAGGGAGAGAGGAGAGAGAGAAGAGAGGAGGAAGAGACAGAGAGAAAAAGAAGGATGAGGAGGGAGAGTAGAACTTGAGGGTAGAGAGAGACAGAGAGAAAGGAGAGAGAGAAGAAAGGAGGAAGAGAAGCATGGAGGAGGGAGAGTAGAGATAGAGGAGAGAGACAGAAAGGAAAAAAAAAAACAAAAGAGGAAGAAGAGACAGAGAGAAAAATATTGATGAGGAGGGAGAGTAGAGATAGGGGGAGAGAAAAAGACAGAGAGAAAGGAGAGCAGGATAGACAAGAGAGAGAAGAGAGGAGAAAGAGACGGAGAGAAAAAGAAGGATAGAGGAAGGAGAGTAGAGATAGAGGGGAGAGCGAAAACACAAAGGGAGAGAGACAGAGAGAAAGAAGAGAGGAGGAAGAGACAGGAAGAGAAGCAAGGATATGGGAGAGTAGAGATAGGGGGAGAGAAAAAGACAGGGGAAGAGTGAGACAGAGAAAAAGGAGAGCGGGGTAGAGAAGAGAGAGAAGAGAGGAGGAACAGTCAGAAATAAAAAGGAGGATTAGGGACAGGGAGTAGAGATAGAGGAGAGAGAGAAAGACAGAGGGAGAGAGGAGAAAGAGGGAGAGGAAGAGAGAGTAAGCGCGAGAGGGGGACAGGGTGCTGGTGTGTCTTCCTGAGGAAATATCTGTGGCCGTATGAATGCAGAGAGGAGATTGAGAGCGTGAGAGCTGTCCACAGAGTCTGTCAGCCCCTCACATTCTTCACACACACATGTTTTCATTTATCTGTACGTTTAACTGTACATTACACATGTCTTATGTTATACGATATCAACACTGCCCATACAGAATAAACAGGCCTGTCAGGATAATTACTATATCAACTTCAATATATGGAAGCTGGAACTATATATATTTGGGGTTAATATTTATTGTAGGGGTGTGCAAAATGTCAAAATATCGATATATCGTATTTTTTAATGTGACGATACAGTACTGATATCGTGGGCTACTCTATCGATATATCACCGAGAGTATTTTTTGGTTTATTTTACTTAATTATTTTGTTACAGCGCTACAGTTTTGTTGCTTGTTTAGAAGAAGGCAACAGATTTGACATTTTCACAGTTTTAGATTTATAATGGGTTAAGAAAGAATTTGCCGTATTACTTTTTAATAACTACACCTTAATTAGGATTAAAGGTGCATTCTGTAACTTTTCTGGTGGAGGGTCCGTCAAATGCTTTTCTCAGAGACCAAATGAAACCAAGTTACAGGTCAGATCTGTGGTTAGGCAACCCTGCTCACAGTCAGAATGCCTGATTTTGTAGATATTTTTTAGCTATAAAACCACCTGTATTTGAATAAATGTAAGGTAGAGCTGTTTAAAGTCATACATTCCAGGCAGAGCAATGACATATTTATAGAAACAAGCAACCGAAAAGTTCCACAGTCCACCTTTAACAAAGCATGTATAATTTAATACAACTTTCTGTCTTTCTACAGAGCTACAGTTTTGTTACTTGTTTAGAGAAAGGGAACTCATTTATGCAACACATTTGACACTTTCACTGTTTTGACGAAAATAAGTGTTTAATATGAACTTTACACAAGAAGTGGTTTAACAAAGACTTTTAGTATCACAGCCATTATTTGTTTATTGAACTGTATCAAATTGATTTGAAATATATTGTATTGAATTGACAGTGCACTGTATTGAGATATGTATCGTATCGTGGCATCTGTATCGAGATATGTATCATATCGTGGTCTATGTATCGTGATATGTATCATATCGTGGTCTATGTATCGAGATATGTATCTTATTGTGGCCTGTGTATTGAGGTATGTATTGTATCGGCAACCTCTTAATGATACCCAGCTCTAATCGTGTGTACATTTTCTTTATACTACTGGGAAATTTGTGGTTATTTTTTGGTTTTATGATAAGATTTAAGCCGTAAAAGGTTAAATAAATAACTTCTATGATTCATTACAGATCCAAACTAATTACTTCAGTGTGCCATTCTTTTACATTTTGAATATTTTTGAGTATTTATGTCAAAGACATATTAGTTTCAAGTTCAAGTAGCGGACCCTCCACCTTAGAAGTTACACCTTTCACCTTTAAGTCTAAGAATCCTGCTGCCCTCCACTGTTTACAGTCTAAATTTGTGACTAAGTTTTTATTTTTTTTTTCATAGGTTTATCTTTAACAAGCACTCTGTGAGCAGCACTCACTCGTCCCATGGAAACCTGTCTCAGGCCTCCATCACCTCCTGCGACGTCCTGGGAGGAGACGATGTGGATCTGCACCGCACAGGTAACATTATTAAAGAGAATTTAGACTTAGACTTTACTGATCCACAAGGGAAATTATTTGGACACAGTAGCTCACACATCACAATATATTATAATAACAAAGAGCAAAAATATAAATGGTAATAATACACTACCGGTCAAAAGTTGTAGGACGCCACACTTTTTCGAGTCTTTTACTGTTGACAAAAAGGCATTCTAAACTTTTGATTGATGAAAGTGTCCACCTTTGGCAGATATAACAGATGAACACTTTTTTACAACAGAAATCAAATATTCTTCAGAAAGTTCTTCCCAAGTCTGTTGCAGAAGTTCCCATAAATGTGTGACACTTGTAGATTTCTTGGTTTTCACTCTTCTGTCCAGTTCATCCCAAAACCAGCTCGATGAGGCTTAAGTCTAGAGCAGGGGTCGGCAAACTTTTTACCATGGAGTGCCAACTGAAAAAGTATAATCCTCTGAGAGTGCCACCACTAAATACCTGACCCAGTATGGGGTATAAATATGATGCAAAAACATTTTAATATGAATCATTTTGTGCTTTATTAACACACATTTTTGTTTAAATTGTGCTTCTCAATGTGTGACCCAACTCAATATTTGCAACTTTGCATATTCAAAGAAAAACTGTGCCATATGCCTATCGTACCTAACTTGTAATACAAAGATACCAGAAACAAGGTAGGCTACAATAAAGATTAAAGAACATCCATTACTGAGACTGTGCTGGACACTCCATGTTTTCAAGTTTTACCATCTTGTTCTTTTTTCCTGAGGTAGTTTTGGCAGAGCTTGAACTTGTGTTTTGTTAACTTTTATCTTTTTTTTTTACCTCTGGCTGTTCAGTTCTTACCTCTGTACCATTTAAAGCTCTTCATTGAACTTGCACGACTTGAATTGCAATAAATAACTGGAAAAATTAATCTAAAATGTTTGACCGGTAGTGTACATTCAATAGAAGTAGCAAGAATAGCAAAAGACTGGAGTCAAATAAGGCATAATTATATAAAAGTATATGTACAATTAAAATTAAATATAGAAATATAGTAATACAAATATCTTTCAGCTGTATATATACAAGAGGTCGTAAGAAGAACTCTTTAGAAATAAGCCCAATTAGGCAATAGGAATGGATTAGTTAGTTGAATAGAAACGTACTCACATGTTCTGAAATTAAAATGTATAATAAAGTGTGAAAAAAGAGTAATTATGTGAATGGTACTGCTGGTATAACTATTTTGTATAATGTACAAGTTGGTCTTTTTATGGGAAATGACAACTAATTTCAAAAAACAAGCTGCCAATCTTCTTTTTTTCTGCTTTCTTTTATGTGTACGTACTATAGATCTGTGCACTTTTTGAGTTGTCACAAAAAATGTATTTAGTTACTACGATACCACAATGGAAACAATAATTTTCTTTGATAACTGAGCATAATATTCAACTGAAAATAAATGTAGTGTATTTATTATTATGTGGTCAAGACTCTGGAGAGGTCAAATTTCACTCTATTTATGTATTTAATGAGTATCAACGTTCAGTACTAATTTACTAAGTTTGACCTTTACTAAATGTTGTTAAAGTTCAGCCTGAGGTCTAATATTTAAAAATAAAAGTAAAACCTCATAAAAATATTACAACAAAATGTGCATCTTTTTTGCAGAAACTCCAGCCACAGGGACTTACCTAACATCCTGACTCATGGAAACTGTCTGAGACGATAACTTAAAGCTCAGCTGTCTTTCCCGGCGTGTGCGATTCCCACTTCATTTTCACACTGATCACTTTAAATGTTCTTTTGTTTAGCCTTGAGGACCCAGGCCCCCCACCGGACTTGGTTTACGGGCTCCCAGGGCAGTCACGGGGGGATGTGCAGTGACTCCGAGAGCGCAGGGGGCAGCAGCGAGTCCCGGTCTATGGACTCGCCCACGGCCAGTCCAGGTATGTATTTTACTATTATATCTATTTATTATCTATTATCTATCCTCCTCTTTTTAAAATAATATACTAATAGTTAATTGAGAATGATTCAGGCTTAGAACTACTTAATTAAGTCTTAATAAACCCTTTGAATTGAGTATTTTTTTATGCTGTAATAACACAAAATTGTAGTAATTTTATAGTGGCACTGGTACTATCAATTGTACTTTATTCTAATAACTCTGGTTTCATATATATTATAAATTTAATGGACTTATTGTGCCAGTACATGGAATTAATGGGAATTTTTCAGTAGACGGTTGAAATTCCTCATCTTCTGATCTCATGATCTCATGAATTGAGTCTTTTTCAAGCTTTAATAAGGCAAAATTGTAGTTATTTTATAATGCCACTGGTACTATGAATTGTACTGTATTCTAATAGCTCTTTTTTAGTATATATTATAGATTTATAGAGTATATATTATAGATTTACACAGACTTATTGTGCCAGTACATGGAATTTTTGGGAATTTTTCAGTATACAGTTGAAATTCCTCATCTTAACTTAACTTTTAGAAGAAATTCTGCCAAATATTATATTGGTACATGGTATTTTTTTCTTTCAATTTTTAGTTCAAGTGTTTTAAAAAGCCGCAGTTTTTCATATAACTTAGATTTGTTATTATTTGTGTTAGACATTTATAGACTCGTGACATTTATAGGTAACTTTTTAATTAATAGCCTTAATAAACCCTTTGTTCATTATGAATTGAGTCTTTTTCATGCTTTAATAACACAAAAATGTAATTATTTTATAGTGGCAGTGGTACTATGAATTGTACTGTATTCTAATAGCTTTTTTTATGTATATATTATAGATTTATGGAGTATATATTATAGATTTACATAGACTTATTGTGCCAGTACATGGAATTTTTGGGAATTTTTCAGTATACGGTTGAAATTGCTCATCTAAATATTATATTGATACATGATATAGTTTTTCTTTCACCTTTTAGTTCAAGTATTTTAAAATCCACAGTTTTTCAAGTAACTTAGATTTTTTATTATTTGTTTTAGACATTTATAGACTCATGAGAAGTAGATAAGAAGATTAGTCTGTCCAAATTACCAGAAACAACTTCTGACTGAGCGCAATACCTCAACATTTTTACAGCCTTAAATCTCTATAAAGCAAGGGTAAAATTGCGCAACATGTTTGAGGTACACGTGTTTAAAAATTTGCATATTAACATTGATATATATACAAAATAAAAATCATAGTAGCTGTGTTGTTACTGCTACTTCCCCAACGTCGACGCGGCCCACTTCTCTTCAAACGGAACTTCCCCATAGACTCCGGATTGAAACTAAAAGTGGCACACGTACGTTACAATGGGGACTTACCGTATATTTTTCTTATATTTGTTTGTCAATAGGGGATTTTAAACGCCGTCTGCCCAGGACTCCATCCACCGGGACCATGTCTTCAGCTGACGACCTGGACGAACGAGACGCCTTCCCCCTCTGACAATGGTAGGGCATCTGTGTTAGTGTTACAGTGAACGTGCTTCCTCTTAGTCAGAAATAGGTGCTTTCATTTAGAAACTAACTTTGTTTACCATGAAACCTCAAAACTGTAGTTTCACAGATTATGTAAACAACCCAAAATTACAGTCACGCGCACAAAGTAGGCAGTGTTGTAACGATACTAAAATTTCAAACTCTATTTTGAAAAGAAAATACTCTGTAGAATCAATATATTGTCATTTTCAACATTAAATCATAGTACTTTCTTTTATATTACCATGTAGTTTGTTTATCTTCATATTCCCTCAGTGGTCCAGGTAGGTTCCACAATGGGCGTTTACTCTTCTATGTGCTCTTATACTTGTTCTGATACAGCTCAAAATCGTTCTAAAGCTGTTGAGAAAAGGTTCATTTCTGTCCTGTGAATCCTGTGACTCTTTCAGTATCAATACCAGCTCAAATCAGTATCTAGTTTCGATATTAGTTTCAGTATTAGTGTCTGATTTTCGATACTTGGTCGCTTTAAAAACAGTAGGAACTGAATACATCTCAGTGTTGTAACGACTTTAATCCATTGTTTTTTTGATAAATAAGGCTGCATCTAACTAACGAAAGAAGACGTTTTTTAGTTTTTTTGACATTTTGATTTAATAATGCAGCTGTCTTTTGGCATCTGTTTTAGAGTCTGTTTAGTAGTCACAATTAGAGGTGTACAAAATTATTGAAATATCAATATATTGTATTGTTTAATGTGATGATACAGTATCGATATCATGGGCTGCTGTATCGATATATCACCAAGAGTATTTTTTGGTGTGTTTTAATTATTATTTTGTTACAGCGCTACAGATTTGTTGTTTGTTTAGTGGAAGGAAACTCGTTTATGTGACACATTTGACATTTTCACTGTTTTGATGATAAAAATGGGCGTGCTTCATGTTCACTTTGCACAAGAAGTGGTTTAACAAAGACTTTTAGTATTACAGCCATGATTTAGCCTTTATTTTTTACTGAAAAGTATCAAATCGAATTTGAAATATACCCAAAAGCTCATCATATCGAGATATGTATCGTATCGTGGCCTATGTATCGAGGTTTGTATCGTATCAGCAACTTCTTAATGATACCCAGCCCTAGTCACAATAATAATTTCGCTGCCCCAATTTGACAATCAAAGTTAATTTAATCTATAATCCCAGTAAAATTATATATATTATCTGGATGTTGTTTCAGGTCTAGCAGAGATGGTGACAGAAACCGCCAGTTCTCCAGGCCCGTTCCGAAATGCCCAGATGTCCAAGGCAGCTCAAACGCACAAACTGAGAAAACTACGAGCCCCGTCCAAATGCAGGGAGTGCGACAGTCTGGTGGTCTTCCATGGGGCCGAGTGCGAAGAGGTATTGTATACGTAACACTTATTCACAACTTCTCATAGCAGTGACAGTGAATATGTAATAAAATGAGACTTATGTTTTTTTTGTCTTTGTTCTTTCATTGCTAGTGTTCACTGGCCTGCCATAAAAAGTGCCTGGAAACTCTGGCCATTCAGTGCGGACACAAGAAGCTCCAGGGACGACTGCAGCTGTTCGGGATCGACTTCGCCCAAGCCTCAAGAAACAGTCCGGACGGGATCCCATTTATCATCAAGAAGTGCACCTCGGAGATAGAGAGTCGAGCCCTCAACATCAAGGTACTCGTCATGATAATATTTACGTAATGTCTGGATTTTTATTTTAGTTTTGTACTTTGTAAACTGACCAGTCAAAGGTTTGGACTAACCCACTCTTTTAGTATTTTTTTTTCTATATGTTTATTATGTGAAAAATCCCTTAGTCGTCCAGGTAGAATCTGTGGCAAAGGAGAAATTAAATTTGTCAACGGGACAAAGTTTATTTGGTTGAATATGTTTTTTTGAGAAATTTCTCATTTGCCTATATGTTTATTACTTCATACTACATTTGATATACATACAGAAAACTACAAATATATTAAGTAAAATATATGGAATTATTTAGTAAAGAAAATAAGTTAAATAACACTACAAAATATTTAGTGTATGTTATTATTATATATTGCAAATGTTGTTTTAGAGGTATGCCAAATTAGAATAGAGTCTAAAATGCAAATAAATAAAATAAAAATAAATAAAGCTGAGTTTGTGTGGTCCAAAAATTATCATTAAAGAACAGATTTTATGCTAAATTTAAATATTTTAGCTTTTAACCGTGTTTCAGTAATCCTCTGTAAAAAGTCTTTGCCTCTGAATCTCACAAAACACTCCATTTGAAAATTTCCCAGGATTGTTATGTCATAGATAGAGACCCTGCGCAATTTTTAAGTCTGTCAATCATTACCAGAGTTTAAATGTTTCAGAGGCCAGACATTAGCATGCTAATGGCACACTTTCTGCTTGAATTTAATTAGATGAAGACAGGACACAGAGGTCTTATTTTGACCCTTGTACAATATATTTCTTCTGAGGCAAAACTATTTTCTTTGGACATGGACCAAAATTGTGTACAACTATTTTTTTTTTTAAGTCAGAACAAGTAAATAATTGTATCTGTTGTGTTTTTACAGGGAATTTATCGGGTGAATGGAGCCAAGTCTCGTGTGGAAAAGCTTTGTCAGGCGTTTGAAAATGGCAAAGATCTGGTGGAACTGTCTGAGCTGTCGCCGCATGATATCAGCAACGTACTCAAGCTCTACCTACGACAGGTAAACTACATCATTTTCTTCCCACGTAACATAATAATAATAAAACTTAAGACGATTTGGTATGTTTTTGTCAGGTGCCTTTTGAAGTAATTCTTGTTTTGTGACTGTCTGGAGGTGGCACTTCACCTGCATGATTCTATGGAAATATAAAGTTAATAACATACTTCAGTACATTCCCCTTAGATGAGTTTTATGACATACAGTGGAAAATTGTAGCCAAATGAACAACATTTCCAGCCCAAATAAGCCAACTCACAGTAATAAAGAACACATATTTTTGTGTGTAAACATCCAAAATGGAACAAAACATTTTGGGAAATTTTTTTCTAATAATTCAAGCCGTGGAGCTTCAGATTTTACTAGAATACAACTGTGCTAAGTAGACTGAGTAGGATGTTTGTAATGGCAAGATTTTATTTGAAAAGTGGTATAGCATTTTTCTCTAATAAAAACAAAAAACCAACATATCCAATCCAATCCAACTTTATTTGTTTCCAAAGTGCTTCACATAGCAGTGCAACATTTTACTTTAAAAAGAAAAAAAAATCAGCCGAATTATGTTTAATAAAGACACTAATAGACAAATAAATAAAATAATAATAATAATATCAATAGCTCCATTCTTCAAGGTGCACCGACAAAGCAATAATATCTCAAAGCATTTGACAGACCCTCCAGCAGAAAAGTTACACAATGCACCTTTAATAGTCAATTTACGGTAGACTTTTTACCCTTAAAGTCAAATACTTTTCTTCATGGAGATGTTATTGCTTCATCTGGAATGTTTCACAGTATGGCATTAAACCTTTCTATCTTCAAGGAGACCAAACCAGACCAAGTTACAGGTCAAATCTGTGGAGAGGCGACCACGCTCACAGTCAGAATGCCTGTTTTTCTCTGTATTTTTGAGCTATAAAACCACCTGTAAATGAATAAATGTAAGGTAGAGTAGTTTAATGTCGTACTGTGGGACATTTCAAGCAGAGTAGTAATACAGTATAGCCATAGAAACCCCCCAGTGAAAAAGTTACATAGTGCACCTTTAATTTACCAATATCTGTTATCTTGTTTACAGTTACCCGAGCCCATGATTTTGTACCGATACTACAACGACTTCATCGGTCTGGCCAAAGAGTGTCAGCGCGTGATCGTGGAGGAGGCGGACATCAGGCAGAGTAACCAAACGGCGGCGAAGGAAACCCCGAGTATGGAACTGAACCGAGTCATGTTCAAGATCCGAGACCTGCTACGACAACTGCCCCCGGCCAACTACAGGACCCTCCGATATCTCATAGCACATCTGCACAAGTAAGCATGGAAATGAACTGGTCTTGGGGGTCAATATGTCTCTGTGTGAATTGTTATTGCATCCTTTTATTCCTCCAAGCTCAATTTTCAGTACAATTTTAAGTTTTCTTTTCAAAATAAAAATGGATATCAGTATTGATTTTATGAACATGCACATATATTGGACAATTAGTTGTGTTAAATGGTTAAAAAATTGGTTTAAAGCTTGCCCTTGTTGCTTGTTTCCATGGAATTTTTATTGCGTTGCCTAGAACAGTGGTCTTCAACCTTTTTAGCTCCACGGACTGGTTTTATCTCCAACAATATTTCGAGGACCGGGGGCTGCGGCGGTGCGTCATGGTTTAGTTCTGTTTTAGTCCTGTTTTATTCCTGGTTTAGTTCTGGTTTTAGACCTGGTTTAGTTCTGGTTTAGTCCTGGTTTAGTCCTGATTTAGTCCTGGTTTAGACCTGCTTTTAGTCCTGGTTTAGACCTGATTTAGTCCTGGTTTAGACCTGCTTTTAGTCCTGGTTTAGACCTGATTTAGACCTGGTTTTAGTCCTAGTTTAATCCTGGTTAAATCCTGGTTTGGTTCTGTTTTAGTCCTGGTTTAGTTCTGATTAAATTTTGTTTTAGTCCTGGTTTAGCCCTGTTTTAAACCTGGTTTAGTCCTTGTTTAGTCCTTGTTTTAGTCCTGATTTAGTCCTGGTGTAGTCCTGGTTTAGTCCTTGTTTTAGTCTTGGTTTAGTGTTGGTTTAGACCTGGTTTAGTCCTGGTATAATTTTGGTTTAGAGATGCAAATGGAAGAGGGGGTTTGTGCTTTCATGGCGCCAGGTACCAAACGGCCCACATTGCTTAATTTCAATCTCGATTAAAATTTGACTAATTACCCAGCAATTAAATATTCTTTGTGGTAAATGTTGTACTATATAAAATTTTAGGGCTATGTTCATTTTAAGATAGGTCCTCAAAAATGTTCTCTCTTTCAATTTTTCAGTTTTTGATTATTTGCGGAGACAAGGTTGTACACATATGTAGAATTTAGAAATCTCCACTTGTTGAATTTATCATAAAAAAGGAAAGAAAAGAGCTGGTTAGTGTCTACAGTGAGAGTAAATTTAATATTGTGTGTCCAAAATGGTGAAATCTAAAATATACAGTAATTTTAGCTGATTAACCTGAAGGAATTTATTCACACGAGCTGGACTGCAGTACAATCCTGTCTTCAAAAATCGTTATCCTACAGTGACATTTCTGATTGCTTTTCATGAATAATGGTGAACTTGCATGCTATAGTTCATGTTGCATGTAGACGCTCTGAATCCTACAATAGCTTTGAGGAAACAGAGGAAACTTCCCCGTGACTTTGAGGAAGTGGAATTGAGGGACGGACTATTTTTAGTTGGGTTTTTAGTCCTGCACATATTTTTAACATCTTGGTTGTAGACGCGTTTGTGTATAAATATGTTTCTGCCGTGGGTTTTATAAGTCATTTTAAACCAAAATAGCAGCCGCTCAAATCTGAGTCCCTAAAGGCTGGGCAAGAAAAATTGGGACAAAGTTTGTGGTAGTACGAGCCTTAAATGAAGCAATAAAGAAATAAAACAAACAAGCAAAAACGCTGGTTATAACGTTTAGGTTGTTGATTGACAATCTTCCAAAAATGACAATGATAGAAAAGCAAATGTGTGTTTCTGATCATTGGTTGGTTCTGAGGTTTCTGAATTTTATTTTTTTACATTTTATTGACAGCAGCACCCAAACAGATTACTATTTCAGGCAGGTTGGCAGGTTAGAACCATATAGGTTACCTCCACACTTGCATAATCTCTCTTAAAAAATTGTGACTATATTTGGAACTAAATTTGGAGTAGACCTGAACTAAAGCAGGACTAGAACCAAGACCAAATCAAGTCTACATTTGGACTCAAGTTGGGTTAAAACTCGGACAAAGAGAATAATAATAATATTTTTCAAAATAAAACCAAAAATAAGAAAACGAGTTTTCAGTTTCAGTTTTTGATTTTGTGTTCAAATGAATAATGGAAAAAACAGATAATAGCCGTTTCCCGTTTCCATGATTTAAATTGCGATGTTGGACTTTTGCACCGCATACAGACTAAAACAGGACTACACTAGGACTGAACTTAGGACTAAACCAGGACTAAACCCGCCACAGTCCTGGTCTCAGTCCCGGTCTCAGTCCTGGTCCTGGTCCTGGTCCCGGTCTGGCTCTGGTCTCTGCTCTGGTCTGGTCCTGGTCCTGGTCCTGGTCTCAGTCCTGATCACCCAACAGTCTACACCTCCAGGTCCATCTCAACGCTCAGTCCTGGTTTAGTCCTGGTGTAGTCCTCTTTTAGTCCTGGTTCAATCCTGGTTCAGTCTTGGTTCAGTCCGGCATCGCAGTTTAAGTTACAGAAACGGGAAATTGGGGGAATTTTTTTCCATTATTCATTTAAACACAAAATCAAAAACTGAAGAAATGAATCATTATCTGTTTTTTCATTTTGATTTTGGAGACAAATAATGAAGAAAATAGTAGTTTCTTTCTTATTTTTTTGTTTTATTTTGAAAAACTAATGATACACAAGAATTCTATGTATTTTTCTTTATACAGTAATTGCAACTTTTTGAAACACTGACTTAAATTGTAAAGCTATATGTTTACATAATTTAAATTTATTTTATGTATTGTCACTACTATAATACTTCTGTTTTGACGTCCACAGAGTGACGGAGCAGGCCGAGGAGAACAAAATGACTGCGAGTAACCTGGGCATCATCTTTGGTCCGACCCTGGTCAAGCCTCGGCAGGCGGATGCGGAGGTCTCGCTCTCGTCTCTGGTGGATTATCCGTACCAGGCCCTGATGGTGGAGCTGCTGGTCAGACATTATCAGACCGTCTTTGACCCCATGCCTCTGCCCGGGTCTGAGCTGAGCACCGCGGGGCAGGCTTCTCCCAAACTCACCCCCCAAGAGAAGATTCAGAGGCTCAGTAGACACTCCACCTCACTCATGGATATAAAAGAGGTGAGTTGACTCTGTACTATGAAGGATTTGATACACACTCATTTTAAAACACTAGCTTTTTATTCACAAAATCAGTAAATATGTATTAACCAAGATAAGGGCCTGACCGATATGGAGTTTTTTGAGGCCAATAATGATACCGATGAAATGGGAGTTGGAGGTGCCGATATAAAAGCCGATATATTAGTGATGTAAAAATTCACTGTAAATCTTCAGTTGGTTATTAAAATTTTGGTCTGGCTCTACTGGATTTAAATTGAGTTTGTTTTGGTGACATTTATAGTTTTACTACCTCTTTACTGTCACATTTAAAGACAGTAGGTCGGCTGAAGTCAGATTTATTTATAGTCAGTCAGTATCGTGGATCAAACACAAGAACTTTTAAAGCAGAGCCTCAGTGTAGTGCACATGAGTGACGGTGCGTTCAGGGGCAGTACGGCGTCACACACACAGACAAATTACTCCACAGATAAATATTAGAACATTTATTTGTCTGTAAATTGGATTAAATGGACATAATATACAGAGGCTAAGCTTTATAATGAGGTATAACATGTCCATTTTGGCAAGATTTAGGCCGATAACCGATATGTCTCAAAGTGCCCATATCGGGCGATAATACCGACCAACCGATATATTGGTTGGGCCCTAATCAAGATATTTAAAAGGTATCAACAAAATAAGTCATTACAATGCAGTATGTGGTAATACAGGAAGTGCTCTACTGTGTTTTTTTACTCCAAACACCTTCACTAGAATCATTTGGATAATTTCAGCCCTGGAATTGCCAATCTCGACTGAACAAAAAGTGAAAGGTAGCTGTTAATTTAGACAGTAGACAGACTAATAATAAAGGATTACTCAAACATGTGTGAATCAAACAAAACACAACTCCAGAAATGCTTTTTTTAATCACATAACAACATTCTAGCATGGGTTAAAGCTCACAAGAATCAATTTAGTGTAATATTGGCCATTTAAAGCTTTGTAACTTTATTTTCTTAATTTTGAATCTTCTTTTTGCACTGAAACTGTGAAAGCTACGCTGAAAAACATGCATCCTTACTGTTATTTGACCTAGTCGAGGCCCCCCTCCTGTTTGTTTCCATAGAAATCTTGTTCCTTTGGCTATAGTTATACACAGAATGGTATAAAACTGGTCTCCATGCAGAATATTCTGAAGTGGTTTTAAGTCTGGACATCTCTAGAACATTACATAGTATGTGGTTTAGCAATTTATTCATTTTAGTCCAAAGGGTTACACAAAATCTTGGACAAATTAACACTTCTCACTCTTTTTTATCTGCTATTTTAACACACAAACACTGCACATTTATCTTTCAAAATGCAATTGAGGAGAATAGTGCAGTTTCCTTGTCGCTTTGACCACTGTTCCAAAAACGCAATCAAAATCTAATTATTTTCTTCTTCCTTTAGACGGCCAAAGTCTTCAAGAGATACTCCTCTGTGATCCCGTCATCTCACATCCTGAACGAAGTGGAGGAGGTGCAGCCTGGAACAGACCGCACGGACGGCTCCAACCTCGAGAAAACCAACGGGACCCTGACCTCCGCAGCCTCCCCGGAGCCCCAGAAATCCACCCCGGTCTTTACTCGCTCCTCCACACAGTCCACTCTCCTCCCCTCCACCACCATGGCCCAGAAAGTCCAGCTACGCGCCCAACGAACCCGCCAGTTCTCTCGTCCAATCAGCATGCCTCTTGAACGCCTCCCCAATCCCGCGCAAATCAGCGAAAGGAACAACCGCAACGTGGTTAACGCGAACGCCGATGGGGCTTTGGAACGGGACAGCGTTTCGGAAACCATCCAGGAAGTCCCCGAACCTGAAAAAGTGCGTTCATCTCGAGTCAGTACTTACTACATTACGCCATTTATCGACACGCAAACTATGCAAAGGAGAACTTGGGATAGAAAGTACAAGCACTATGACGTTACGCCGAGAACTGCTATGATTGTCGCGAACTCTACCGCTCCGGGTCAAGTTAAACCCAGTTCTTCTATCCCGATTACAACGGCTTCATCAACGGCGTCAACCACAGGCAGCGTTACAAATGTGTTCTCGACGAGCCCCTACGCTGCTTCGCTAAAATCGGTTTGGACTAAAAGGGAGCTTGATACCGAAAATACAGACCCTACCAATTCGCCAAAGGTTCCAATAACTTTGCGAGCGCCAAGAACACTTCAACCCCCTCCAGGAACTTTTTACAAACCGCCCACGTCTATAAACAACCGTGCAAGGACAATTCCAAGCTGGACTGCTATTATTACTACCACTACTACGACTACGACTACAATCGCTTCAACCTCGCCAACGCAAGCTTCCCCGGACAAGCTGGCACCTTCGCCGACCGGAAAAAGCCGTCCGCAGTCCAGGCTAGAGGCGCAGGATTCGATAGACAGCGCCATAGATGCCCCGGCAAGCCCGTCCCCGCCGCAGTCCCCTCCCCCCGGCAGTCCGGACGAAACGAGTCCCACCGAAAATAAAAACGTTTACCAAAGACTGAGATCGCGCAGGCCACCGGAGCTGGAGCACAGGGAGGCGCATTTTGTGTAAAGCCAAATCTACATTGCAAAAAATGATTATCTGTGTTGGTTTAAATGGTTGAAATTCAGAATATTGATCTCGTTTGGCAAAAAAATTGACAACATAATATTTATTTAAGTCTGTCAGTGAAGTTTAGGGTTATCAAAAGCATCGAAAACCAGATACTTATCGATTCTAGATACACATTTGAGCAAGTATTGATACAAAAAGTTACATTTACAGGCCAAAAATGAACCTTTTCTGAATCGATGTGGACAGATATAACACCACATGGTAATATAAAAGAAAGTACTACGATTTAATATTGAAAATCACAATCTGTTGTCTAAAGCAAGAGTGTTTTTTTCATTATTATCATCGTCATATTGGATGGAGTTAGACGTTTGCATAAGTAAATTAAAGTAGATAATAAAACATACCTAAATTGTTACAAAATATATTAAAACAAAGCCAAAATTGAAACTACATGAGTAAAATTTCTGTCACATTTCTGTATTTCAGTCATTTCTGCTGATGTAGGTCGTACTTATTTGCAGTGCATCATCTTGTTGTAAATAGATCGTCTGTGCCATAGTAAATATATTGGGAGGTATTTTTTTATTTGTCAAACAGTGAATGAGTGGATAGCCTGGTCAGCCTTTTTGTCTATTAAAAAATAATACAACTTTCATGCATTGGAACAAATGGTTTTAGATTAGATGAGTGCTGGCCAGTATTGGGAGACAATGTCCAATGTGCGTAGTTCATTTTAGCATTTTTATTTATTATGATACAATTAAACCTGATTTTGTAAAATGTAATAAAGGCCGGAGGGGGAAAAAAGAAGAAAAAATGTGGATTGAGAATAGAGAGCAGTTAAAAGAACCAGTGCAGAATAAACTAACAGTGGTGGAAAGAGGTTTAGTCAAGTAAAAGTACTGTTACGTGGCTAAAAATGTACTAAATTACAAGTAAAAGTACTGTTACACGGCAAGAAATGTACTAAATTACAAATAAAAGTACTGTTATGGCTAAAATGTAATCAATTACAAGTAAAAGTACTATTACATGGCAAAAAATTTACTAAATTACAAGTAAAAGTACTGTTACATGGCAAAAAAATTACTAAATTACAAGTAAAAGTACTGGTATGGCAAAAATGTAATCAGTTACAAGTAAAAGTACTGTTACATGGCTGAAAATGTACTTAATTACAAGTAAAAGTACTGTTACATGGCTAAAAACGTACAAAATTACAAGTAAAAGTACTCTTACATGGCAAAAAATGTACAAAATTACAAGTAAAAGTACTCTTACAGGGCTAAAAATGTACTCAGTTACAAGTAAAAGTACTCTTACAGGGCTAAAAATTTACTCAGTTACAAGTAAAAGTACAGTTATGGCAAAAATGTAATCAGTTACAAGTGAAAGTACTTTTACTTCACTAAAAAATGTACTAAATTACAAGTAAAAGTACTACTGTCAAATTTGTACTTAAAGGTGCACTGTGTAACTTTTCTGGTGGAGGTCTGTCACCAGCTTCTCTGTTACCTGGAATGTTCCACTGTATGGCACTACACTTATTTATCTCCATGGAGACAACCATAAAACCAAGTTACATGTCAGATCTGTGGAGTAGCGAGCCAACTCATAGTAAGAATGTAAGTTTTTAAGTCAGTAGAAGCCATTGTTATTGAGTAAAAACAAGATGGATACTGGATATGTTTAATGCCATACTGGGACATTTTAGAGGAAGCAACAGTATCGCCATGGATACAAGAAGTTGGCGGACGCTCTTCTAGAAAAGTTACACAGTGCATCTTTGAGTAAATGTAAAAAGAACACATGAAAAACACTATTCAGAGCAAAGTTACTAGTTACTTTTCACCACAATTTTACCAACATTTTTCAAAAATGAAAGTGAATTAAGTTGTTTTAACCCACAATTTGCGTAATTTCTGTCCAATCAGAGCAGGTGATGTTGTTTTGTGAGTTTGTACGTATAAAGAGGCTTTGGACTAAATGGGACTTGGGCTGTTTTTAGTAATTTTTATGATTTAAAAAGTAACTAATTGCAATTACATGGCTAGAATTATACTCAGTTACAGGTACAGGCTTTTTTTTTTAAAAATCCCCCAAATCTGCTCCATTACATTAACTTGAGTATTTGTAATTAGTTACTTTCCACTCCTGCTAATTAATGAATAGAAATATGAGGAAAAATTGGGAAAAGTTCAGACCTCTTTCTCTTTTAGTGTAATGTTTGAATGGGTTTGGTTGACCAGGCTACACAATGGAAGAAATAAGGTGTTTGGAAGAGAAACCATACAAGTGTTATATATGTTATTTACACATTGAAGTAACTGTTACTGTGGCTGCTCTGGCCAAAAAAGAAATGCATGATTTTTATATTTATATCAATAAGGTTTTCTATTGTTCATGTTGAAATCTTGTCTATTAAAGCTGCATTGTGTACGGTAACTTTTCCGGTGGAGGGGCCGACAAATGCTTTTCTACACGGAGATGTTATTGGACATCAGGAATTTTTCACAGCACGGTGTTAAACCTTTCTATCGTAGGGATGTAACAATAACCGAAATATCGTGATATCATATCGTCAGAGTTAAATTAAAAGTTATGGTGCAGCAACAGCTAAAATGCACAGAGAGAACTACATAGACCATGATCCTTTGCTCCATTTCAGTGTAGAAACATGAAGAAATAACAGCTCTAAGCACTTTTAAGTCTTAGTTCTTTGGAATAAGTCTTGTCGAAAAAGTCGCACATTGCCTCCACAAAATATCGCAATAAATATCGTGATTATATTGCGTAAATATCGCAAGAAATTTGGATATTCTTACATCCCTAATCATGAGCTTTCCCAGGATATATCACAATAAATATCATGCCATGAGGTTCATATCGTAACGATATCGTATCGTGAGACTTGGATATCGTTACGCCCTATTCTATCGTCATGGAGACCAAACCAGACCAAGTTACAGGTCAGATCTGTGGAGAGGCGACCCCGCTCTCAGTCAGAATGCCTGTTTTTCGACGTATTTTTAAGCACCTGTAATTGAATAAATTTAAGTTCGAGCTGTTTAATGTCATACTGTGGAACATTCCCGACATCTCCATTGAAACAAGCAGGTGACGGACCCCCAACCGAAAAGTTACACAGTGCACCTTTAAGAAAACATAAATATATTGTACATTGATTGAGATGGTATAATATTGTAATCATTCAATGCACTTATGGCAAGTTCAAAATCTAATGTTGCCTTATTTTGTTAATGCAGGCATCATTTTTTTGTATTTTATTCCTTGAGGAGGATATGGAAGTATTTTTAACATAATATTTTGATTTTAGTTCATAATTTCCATGGTAAATTATATTCGTAGTAGTCATTGATTGGTACATCTTTGTCAATAAGTAAATTCTTTATGTGTTTACGTTTGTACAAATAGAAAATTCTGCATGTTTGTCACAGTAATTTTGTCCCATCCTTGTTGTGGTTTGAGAGGTGGCATGCAACCATTTTTTTTGCTGCAAATTAAAATGTATTTTAAATATTTCATGGTCATTTTGTATTTTATTTGGCTTTTTCTTTGCTGTCTTTTGGTTACTAACATTTATTCTCTTTTCTTTATTAACCTATTTTGATGCTTGTTTCAGAATACTTCATTCTTAGTATTGTAATTGTATTGAGTTGTGTTTTGTTTCATTCACACATGTTTGAGTAACCCTTTATTTAGTCTGTGTGCATCTAAAAAACTCAAAATGTTCTGTTCCACCTTGTGATGTCATGAAGCCATAGTTTTCAAGTTTACGGTTTTCTTTTGCCTTTTTTTTTAGTAGAGATTGTCAATTCCAGGGCTGAAATCATCCAAATGATTCTAGTGAAGGTGTACGGAATTTAAAAACACAGTGGAGCACTTCCTGTATTATCACATGACATCACAAGGTGGAATAGGTGCAATAGGTGAAATATTTTTTATTATATCTTTTAAGGCTGTAAAACCCCTCACCACACACTTTATACACTTTCTCAGACAGGACACTTACAACCCTTTTTGCATCCTTCTTAAAACTTATTGCTGCTGTCGTCCTTTTGTGATTTTCGTTCTTTATGTAACGGACCAAAGATTAATTTATTCCGTAATGGAGCCCTACAGCGCGGACTGAACCAAGACTAAACCAGGACTAACCCAAGACTAACCTAGGACTGATTCCAGGACTGAACAAAGAGGACTAAACCAGGACTGAAGCAGGACTGAACTAGAACTAAAACGGGACTGAAACAGGAGAAAAACAGGACTAAACCAGAACTGAAACAGGACTCACTGTCGGGACGGGCTTGGAGGTGACTGCAAGAGAAAGTACTGGCTCAGCTCCGCACCTCATGGAGGAAAGCGCGGCAATTGCCCGATCTCGCTTTGTGGACACCCTGCTTCCGTGTTCTCTCTCTTAAGTCCAAGATTAGTCCTGGTTTAGTCCTGACCTGCCCGTGTGTAATTACTACCCGCCCGTAAAATTACAGAACATTAAAACCCACCTGTTTCAGCAACTATTTGCCTGTACCCGACCCGGTTCAGGACTCTGCTACAGCTGCGTAACTTCTCCCTTCCTTCTGCGTGTCCAGAAGTCCAACTTTTTGTGCGATGGTTACATCTTCCTTTGCCTTTAGGGTTGGCAAGAGCGTTTGTCGGTGCAGAACGTTTCGCCGACATTGTGGTTTTTGTCGGGGAGAAAACTTGCAAACATACAACACTTCAGAATCACACTGATAGAGATCGAACATTTATGTAAATTTGGCAGGTGAACACACGGCACGGAGGAGATTGATTGACAGTGGTCTGCAGTCTCTTATCCAATCAGGACGCAGGGGGAGGAACGCAATGCATGTTCATACACTGTAAAAAAAAAAAAAGAAAAGGCAAAATTCCACACAAAAAATCTGCGAGACCGGGAAAAGTGAACCTCGATAGAGAGAGGGAAAATTAATGAAATGAATGACATTGTGTGCTTAACAGATCTCGTTCCTCTAAAGCATCGTCTGATATCGGACCCGGGATGCACCTGCGGACACCACACTCCTAATTCCCCCCTCAAAATGGCCGCCTGTCTTCTCCGTGTTGAGCTGGAGATTAGAGCAATCAGATTAGCCCTGACCTGCACCGCTCCACTGTCAACAGCAACTATGAGAATCACTACACAAGTCCACCTCAACGCAACGTAATGTTTCACTATCTCTGTCCTCACATGTAAAGCTGGATGTAATTTGAGTTTGTGCATCATTTGTGAAGGTAAGATGGCTGTTTGGTAAAGATGTTTTGCTTTATTTTGTGTTTATTACTGTAGTTTGTTTTGTTTTGTGTCAATACTGTGTAAAGATCTTGAACAGGTATTTAAAGGGCCTGTATTATGCTGATTTCTGATCCATTTTATAATGTTGTTACCTCCTCAAAAACATACCAGAGTTGTGTTTTTTGTTTTTTTTACACCTTTATTATTTGTCTGTTTACATCTCCAAAGTTCATTATACCTTTTGTTCAGTGGAGATTGGCAACTCCAGGTCTGAAATTGTTGATTCTAGTGAAGTTGTATGTATTTGGAGCACTTCCTGTACTACCCCGTGACATCGCAAGGTGGAACAGAGTGTTTTTAATCAGCAATGCATCAATCGGACACTGGTATCAGATATCAGCGTCGATACAGAAAATTTGTTGCTGGATCGGTTATCGGTTCAGTAATAAGACGACTTACTGGTTGTACTTGGCCTGGAAAGTCTCATAATAAGATTTTTTTATTTGTACAATGTTGTTCTGTAGTTACTTACGAGATGAACAACAGCTACATAACACATTTGGATTAGTTTTGTCTTATTTTTAGTTTTAGTTTAAAAGAAATAATTGCTATTTTCAGTCTATGCACTGATATTGGTTGATATTAGGTATCGGTAGATAATTAAATCTTTAGTATCAGAATTCGTATCAGAACCGAAAAAGCTCCATGGATGCATCTCTATTTTTAGTCTGAGAAAACAACTAGATCAGAAAATACTGTAATATGGGCCCTTTAAGTTCAAATTGATACTGGATCTTCTGAAATATTTATGTAAATAAGATAACTTTTTTTTTTTATATATATATTTTTATTAATATTCAGACACATTTTTTTTACATTTACAGCATTTACCACATTTACCACAATAACATAGGCCAACATATAACAAAAAAAAAGGGAAAAAAAAGAAAGAAAAACAGGCCACAAATTTTAAAAAAAGGAAAATGGGTAGGAGAGAAAAATAATAAAATTTTAAATGTAATAAAAATAATAAAGATGTATTATTATTATTATTATTATTATTATTGTTGTATTCTTTTAATTTTATTTGTGTTATTCTATTTTATCAATAACAATCAAAGATAACATGATTTAATTGGTATTTTGTAGTCCTAGAATTGCATTAATTTGGTCATAGCCCCACTACCGATCTTTACTGAACCGTCCTTACTAAAAATATGATAGACTTTTGTACAGAACAGTGTATTTTTAGCGTTCATTTTGTTTGTTTACCTGCACCACGAGTGAGGAAGTGCAGTTCGCTGTAATGACTGTTTGTCTGGAGTGGCTGTAAAAAGCAGACAGTGTAATGACAGCGTGCGCCTCGGGTTCGGAGTCTGCTCTTCTCCATTTTGTTTTTCTTTTTGGAGCTCGTGTCTCCACTGTCTCCTGCCTCTCCCGCTCTAATCTGCTGTACATGTCATTCCAAAACAAATTACTCCGTGTCCCATCTGTGTACAGGGAGGTATGTGACGGGAGGGAGGGGAGGCTGGAAAAAGTTACATCAAACTATACAATTTCCTCTTTTTTTTTGCAGTAGCTGTTATGACTTCCACTGTTATAAAAGATACACTATGGATTTTATAATGTAAGAGATTGTCTGGAGCACAAAGAGACAGTACTATTTCATGCAGTACTCAGTCGTCCTGGGTGTATTGTTGTCAATAAAAACATAAATCCATTAAAAAACAAAAAAAAATCTTCTGTTTGGATCATCTGCCCACTATGAGAAATTAATACTCGACAAATACAGTAGTTACTAAAAATCATTCAAGCCACTGTATACAACTTTTTAGATAAAAAAGAATGTGCGCTTACTCTGAGCAGGCTTGCATCTCCACAAACCTGACCTGCTTGTTACCATGGAAATATTGTTCTTTTGGCTATTATTCCAAATCTGTGTATCATTCGTTCATTCGTTTTTTTCTAAATAAAACCAAAAATAAGAAAACGAAAGAAACAACTATTTTTAATTTTGTCATGAATCATAATTTGTCTCCAAAATCAAAATGAAACAAACAAACAAAACAAAACAAAAAACAGATAACGACAGATGAGATGACGACAGACTGAACCAGGACTAAACCAGGACTAAACCAGGACTAAAACAGGTCTAAACCAGGTCTAAACAGGACTAAAACAGGACTAAAACAGGTCTAAACCAGGTCTAAACCAGTCTCAGTTCTGGTCTGATCCCGGTCTCAGTCCTGGTCTCAGTCCCGGTCTGGTTCTGGTCTCAGTCCTGGTCTGGTTCTGGTCTCAGTCCTAAACCAGGTCTAAACAGGACTGATCCAGGAGTGTCGGGACAGGCCCGGAGGTGCACCCGTGTTGTAGACTGTTGGGTGATCAGAACTGAGACCGGGACCAGACCGGGACTGAGACCAGGACTAAGACCGGTTTAGACCTGGTTAAGTCCTAGTTCAGTCCTTGTTTAGACCTGGCTTAGTCCTTTTTCAGTCCTGGTTCAGTCCGTATATGGTGCAAAAGTCTATCATTCGTAGTTTTAAGTCACGGAAACGGGAAATGGCCCTAACTGAAAATACAAATCGTTATCCATTTTTTCATTTTGATTTATGGAGACAAATAATGAAGAAAATAGTTGTTTTTTCATTTTCTTTTTTTGATTTTATTCTGAAAAACGAATGAGCAAATGACACACGGATTATTCCACAATATGACATAAAACATACCTACGTCCATGGAGAATGTCCTGAAGTATGATCTTTACTTTCTACTTTCATGGAGTCTTACAGGTGACATGATTCCTCCAGAAAGTTACTTATTGTACGTTTAAGTATCTCACATGACACCAGATGTTTGTGATGATCAGATTTCTCTTGTGCGTATAAAAAGCAAACACGTAAAAATCAGATCTAATTATTGGTTTATCTGATTATTCTAGTTTTCTGATTTTGACTGGATGTGTAAAAGTACTGAGTACTGATTGAGTCGTGTTGTTGTGTTGTGTGTAGGTGGTCACATGACCTCTGGAGGCCCCGGGCTGTGGAGCGATGAAGACCGGCTCTCAGGTCCGCCTGCTCCTCTGGAAGAACTGGACTCTGCGCAAACGCCAGAAGGTCACTTTTAAACACTTCACAACAACAAACAACAACCACTACTTATTAACTACGTAGTAAATATACACAGTGCATATTACAGTCTAGTATTCATCAACACATTTATCTTTACTTCACGTATCAGGGACATGCTTTGTGTATATTCCTGTTCCCTTGACTCTGCTGCCCTGTTGCTTCTTCAAATGAATAAATAAATGCAGCAATGCAGTGGTTAGAGCAGTGATCCCCCAACCTGAAGATCACAAGACCAATTCCTGTTCAGACCAAATTCTGTCATTGTGTCCTTCACAGTATTATGCAGTTTATCATTATTATTAAATGTGTGTGGATGTTTTACTTTTTTCTTATGAGATTATTGAAATTAAACACATTCAAAATACTTTTTAACCTCAATGTTCCTAATCATTTCTGAGGTCTAAGACTAAACTACATACTCCTACTACTACACACTATACGAGAATGTCCTCAACAAGTTTTCCTCTGCTTGTTAAATTTGAGATTTTTTCTTGATCTGTTTATATTGTGATATGTTTACAAAGGATTGTAATAGAAGTTCATTTTGTGATGTGTTTCTGTCCAGATTCGGTTCCTGGTTGAAATCATCTGGCCGGCGGTTTTGTTTATCGGTCTGGTGTGGCTGAGAAAAGCCAACCCCCTGTACCAGCAACATGAGTGTAAGAAAGACATTTAATTTACACATTTAAGTTGGACATTAACAGTAATAAGTCATTAAATAAAAGAGTAATGTAGTCACTGAAGTAAATCTATCTATCTGCCTCCCTCCCTTTTGTCATATTCACTTTTGAATGTCTTTCTTGTTTTCTTGTTGCAGGTCATTTTCCAAACAAGGCCATGCCCTCGACTGGGATCCTGCCGTGGATCCAGGGCATCTTCTGTAACGCCAACAACCCGTGTTTCAGACACCCCACCAGAGCAGAGGGCCCCGGGGTGGTGTCCAACTACAACAACTCTCTGTGAGGACATCAACATTATACTCAGTATCTATGGGCTTAAACATCAGTATAAACCTCAAATTACTAAGACTGTTGCCATAACGATTAACAACTTTTTCCTCCTGTGAGCTCGAAAATGCCAGAGAGCTACAAATTTTTGCGTTATAAGAGCCACGGCAAGTCATAGATGGGGAACAGTTTGATGTGTATAAAACATAAACATAATCCATAGTCCAATGAGATTCATGTGGTCTTCTGGTATTTTATGTTATTAGGTTCTTTTTACAGTTTGTTTTCATACCTGACTGACTGATCGAAACTGTCAGGTATGAAAACAAACTCTTGTCTGTAAAAAGAACCTAATAACATATAAATCAATCATATCAAAATGGAAATAGGCATTTAATCAATCAAATCAAAACGCAATACGTATAATTCAGAAATCTTTGACGAGTGACTTGGAAAGGGGTAGAGAGCTGCTGACCAGACCCCTGTTCTAGTGATTTTAAAGGTCTGCCACTTGACTGTCTCCTGCTATTGCTGCTTTCCATGGAATATTCCACAGTATAGCATTAAGTGTATCTATATATTGCATTTATTTAACTATGTGTGTCTTTAATTGTTCAAAAATACCAAGAATAAATTGCATCCTAACTGTGAGCAGGGTCGTCTCTCTGCCCATCTGACCTGCAGCCTCTAGTCTAGTGGAGACAGATCATTAATGCCACACTGTGTAGCATTCCATTCCAGGCAAAGCAATAACCTCTCCATGGAGACAAACAGGTGCAAGATTAAACTTTTTGGACCTAGTTTGAGCCCATTTTAGTCCTGATATAGACTTGGTTTTGATCCTGGTCTAGTCCAAGTTTAGTTCCGAGTTTAGTTCCAGTTAAGTCCAAATTTTGATGTGGCCTGTTGTATTTGTTCTTAATTGTAATAAAACTATAGCGATACAGAAAAGTTTTTTGAATATAATCTATACAAATATCACCCTTTTGGCTTGGAAAAGTCTGACGTTAAGAGATCGAACATTTTGTAATATTTTGGCAGTAAATAGAGCTTAATTTAAATGAGAAAACAAACATTTCTATGACTTCCTCCAGACGTTCAGCATTTAATAACTGCATTGCCAAATCACATCAGATAAATCGGAGCCAAAAACATTAAAGCGGTTGTCCTTTATGCCATTTACTCTCAGATCATTCAGTTTAAGAAAGTTTGAGAAATGCTAGAAGTTTGAGCGACGCAGACATTGGCTGTGTTTTGTAATAATGCCTTAACATGGGGGGGTCTGACCTCTGTCTGTGAACTCTGACCCCTGGATCCCGGGCATTATTTGGTGCTGTCTGGCTGTCACATGTTTTACACGTTCATAAAAAATGTGTCTGAAAGATACAAAGCCAGAGACGCCAATATAAGCACAATTGGTGGATATAGAAATTGAAAATATCTCATGAAAAACTTGACTTAACCCGATTTTATTGGTAATTTGTTTTCTTCTGTGATTAATCTATTGAATCCTGGAGTTGTGTTTTGTTTCATTCACATGTTTAACACACAAACTGCATATTTAGGCATAGGAGTTCTTCTCTCAAACTGAAAACACCCTGTCCCACATTGTGATGTCATACAGGAAGTGCTCCACTGTGTTTTTAAACTCCATACACCTTCACTACAATAATTTGGATAATTTCAGCCCTGGAATTGCCAATCTCTGCCAAAAAAAAAAAGGTAAAAAGGAGCTGGTTAACTTGAAAAGTATAACCTCATTACATCACAAAGTGGAACAGAGCATTTTGAGTTTTGGAGATGTAAACAGACTAATAATAAGAGATTTTTCAAAACACAACTCCCGGTCTGTTTTGAAATAAGGTGACGTCATTATAACGTGGCTTAAAGCTCAAAAGAGTCTATTTTGTGTAACACGAATAATATTTTCTACAGAGATCCGTATAAAATCTGTTTGCGTTGGTTGTATTTTGCAGATTGGCGCGTTTCTACTCCGATCTGCAGGAGCTGGTTCTCAATGACACAGAGGTGCATCAACTGCGTAGGATTTGGAACGAAATGTCTGCCTTCTCCAACTTCATGGAGACACTTCGCCATAACCCTTCCTCAGTGTCAGGTAAGGATCATTCTCCCATCTACACTTTGTTTTTTTATTCATTTGATTGTGCACAGCTGGTTTTGACAGTGTTATGCCAATATCAAGTACATTAAAGCCACACTATGTAACGTTTTAGCCAAAAACAGACTAAAATGAAAGCATGCTTTTTCAATTAATTGTGTTCATTGCACTGGAAAATGTAGAAAATCTTACTTAATGTGAGTGGGCTTGCATCTCCACAAACCTGACTCTTATTGGGCCTCGAGGAGAGCTCCTTCCTGCTCGATTCAATGTTGTTTTTTGGTTGTAATATTTCACAAGTATGGCATAAAACTTATTTATCTCAATGGAGAATGTTTCAAAGTATGTTTTTTTTTTGCTTTCTACATCCATATAATCATGCAGGCGATATGCTACCTTCAGAAAGTTCCATACGGTGTCTTTAAAGGTGTCACTAAATAACTTTCCTGATGAAGGGTTCACCACCTGTCTTCATGGAGATGTTTCTGCTTGTGTGAAATTGTTCACAAAATGGCACGGACATGTTTCCGTAGCATTTATTTAAGTACATCTGTTTTTACTGATAAAAGAAAAACATACACACTGTGAGTTACAGATCTGACTTGTAACTTGGCCTGAATGGAGATAAAGATATGTTTATTTTCATACTGAGGAACAATCCAGGCAAAGACAAACATCTCCATAGGAGACAAGCAGGACACAGACCCTCCATCAGAAAAGTTACACAGTACGCTCTTAAAACAATGTTAAAGCAATTAGGAAAATTAAGTCCAACTAATGTTTCTTTCCTCATTACGTTTAATTGTATTATGTAGAAGTAAACTTACATTGTCTAGTCCAAGAATACACACATTTCTCAACTGTGGAGAATCCTGGTATTTATTTAGTCCAACCATTCTGTCAAACAAACCAACCGGCAATTGTTTTGTTTTCCTTAACGACCTCTTTTTTCCTCCTTTTGTGTGTCCAGGCCGTGGGCTCAAAGTCGAAGAGATATTGAAAGATGATGAAGTGTTCACCTCCTTCTTGCTGAGGGATGCCCACCTCACAGACTCCGTGGTCTACCAGCTCGTCAACGCACGGATACGACTGGAACAAGTAAGGAATAAAGACTACATTATGTCTTATTTACATCGCAAAATCATGATTCATTTAACACGCTGTATAACATTTAGAAACAACATTTGAGAGAAGATTAAAATAGTAATAGATAAATAATTAGATGCATTTTTGAATTTAAATCACAATCTAATTTATTTACCAAATCTTCAGGTGCACGTTTGGATTATGTCTCAACTAAAAATGCCTGCCCCTCTTTAGACTTGTTTGGATCATTTCAGCATACATATTTTCTTCCTTGTAGCGTTCCTAGTATTTTAAAAGCTTGACCATGAGTGCACTCTCTTCTGGTGTTTTTATTTAGACCACAAGAGACAAGAAATTCCAACTACTAGTGCTTTTTAAGATAAACTAAAAGCTAAATCAAGTTGTTGTTGTTTTTTTTCTCGCTACTTAACTGTGTATGAACAAACTAGGTACTATATATTTGGAGCTTTCTGTTCAAAAACCTTAATTTCAAGTAGGTGGTAACATCACACAAGACTGCCCTGATTACAGCCATGTGTTTCTGATACAAACACCTGGCTGCAGGGACGGAGTTTTGAAGTTCTTCCCTCCTCGCTTTCTCCTTTAATCGTCCAGGTACTGCCCAGTTTAACAGCTCCGTGGCCGCGTCTCAGTTCTCTTTTCTCGTTTTCCTTGATTCCTCTCCTCGATTCTCCATTTTTCAACTGTCAATCAAATGTTTCATATTAACTTGTGTCCCCAACAAAACTACGGAAGGAAGGAGTAAACATGAGGGAGGCTTCAGGAACAAACATCAGATAAAAGAATAAAACTTTATTGGTCCCAGTGAGGAGTTTATTTCCTCTCTCCTCGTTTTGTCTCCTCTGTGGGCGGGACTTCCTCACCCATTCCCTGCAGAATCGAGGAGACGAATCGAGGAGAAGGAAGCGAGGAAAGAGAAATGAGACGTGGTTCAGGTACTGCTCAGTTTAGCAGCTCTATTTTAAATGTGGTGGTGGGCGGAGTATAGGTGTTTAGCCACATTTTATGCAATGAAGTAGGGATGAACAAACACATTTTTCTGACAAGCACTGAGACTGTGATTAGATTAGGTGTTTAGTTAGTTCACATTTTAAATTGAGAAAAAAAACTAAAATATGAACTGACAAACTAATACAAGAATCACATTTCAGGACATGTTTGTACAGATCTACAGAAGCCACAGGTTTTTTTGTGGGTTTTTTTTTTGCTTGTGGATGAAATAATCCTGTGCTTCAAAAATTTAAGCCTTTGTGAAATTTAAACCATGTTAAAATGTTGTTAAGTCATCAAAAATATATCCAGAGTTGTGTTTTGTTTCACTCACACATGTTTGAGTAATTATTAGACTATCTGCATCTGCAAAACTCAAAATTCTCTATCATTAAGTGATAAAATCAGCATGTTTTTGTAACCTAAATTGAACTGCTTTAGACTGCAGTACACTAAAAATAACCAATATTTTTGTTTTACCTTTTGTTCAGGTGTGATTGTCACGAGAGAGGCTTAAACAATAGCACTAGTTTCAAAGTTAGGTAATTCTAAGTCTGCAAATTATCCAAATGATTCTAGTGAAAGTGTATGGAGTTTAAAAACACAGTGGAGTAATTCCTGTGATATTAATAATGTCACAAGTTGGAACAGAGTGTTTTCAGTTTGAGAGAAGAGCACAGCCTAAATATACATGATTATTGTGTTAAAAATGCGTGAATGAAAAAAAACCCACAAATCCAGGTGTGTTTTTGATGAGGAAACAATATTTTATCATGGCTTAAAGTTCTCAAGAGTCAATTTTTTACTTCTTGGGTTCTTTTTTAAACACAGTACAGTAAAGTCTATTTACTTTGTTGACATGTTTCGGCTGCTACCTGCAAGCCATCTTCAGAAATATCATCGGTGTTGGTGGTGACATGCCGTTTATCAGCTTTCTGTAGAACCCAAGAAGTTAAAGTACATAAGACAAAATGAACATCTTTGGTTTAAGAGTGAATTTTGCATAATATAGGATCTTTAATAGGATTCACACTTTCTCTAATAATTATGCTTTAAAATACTTATTCAATCTTCTAACCAAGATTATTGTGTTAAAAACGCGTTAAAGAAAAAACAAAACACAACTCCAGGTCTGTTTTTGATGAGGTAACAACATTATAACATGACTTAAAGCTCACAAGAGGCAACTTTTGCGTAATATAGGACCTTTAATAATATTCTTGTTTCCTTTTTAGTTTGCGTATGGGATCCCGAACCTCCAGCTCAAGGACATCGCGTGCAGTCAGGCTCTGTTGGAGAGGTTCCTGATCTTCCCCGGTCGCCATGGGTTACACAGTGTGAGAAACGCCATGTGCGCCCTGAGCCAGCAAAATCTCCAGACCATCGAGGACGTGCTCTACGCCAACCTGGACTTTTTCAAGATATTCAGACTG